AATGGTATACAAAGAGACAGCTATGCTGGGCTTGCTAACAATCTCAAATTCTCTCATGAAAGCTGATAATCCATTTCTTGTTTCCAGTTCACAAATACCACATTCACCATCCCTTTCACTGCCCATGTTACGGCAATGTATTATGCAAAGGAACCTGGCCTTGGCAGCATGGTGGTAGTGAATAGCATTTAATGTCTTCAGTAATGTCTGATGGCAGTTTTCCTCAGAGTTCAGTTTCAAATCGAAGAGATCAATCAAAACTGCTTCTGCCATCCTTTAGGAATGTTCAGTTTTCTTCTAGAAGACTTTTGTGCTCAAAAAATCAGCTGTAAAAAATTATCATTAATATGAGTAAGAAATTCTATTAATCTTATAGTTACAACAGAAATGTGTAGTGGATTTTAAAAAAGAAATAATTACATTGATCTAAAAAGTAAAATAAATCTAGAACCCAGGCCAGAAAAGTTGGTACACTGTTCATCATAAAAGAATCATGACAATTAAAGTCATCTTTTATTTTGGTGGGTGGGTATATTTTCCCAGAACAGCAACTCTGGTTTATTTTCTACATAGCAAATTTTAAGCATGAAATCACTTTTTGACATCTATCAAGTCCTGTTTTTTTAATTATGTGCCAATCAATCTGTCTGACATATCATTATTCCTGGCATGACAGTCATTTTAGATCATATCTCCTCATATGAAATACCAACATCCCTAAAGGGACGTTAAACTTATCTGCATCTGCAAATGACCATTTCTATTTCTCAAGACAGGGCCTCACTAAGTAGCACTGGCTGGCCTAGAACTCACTATGGAGAAAGCAAGCTAGCCTCGAACTCAGGAGATCATTCTGCCCCTCCCTCCACAGTGCTGAGATCAAACGCGTGCACCACCATGCCTGGCCTACAAATCACTTTTGGTAAGATAAAAGTTTATTAAGGGCTGGAGAGATGGCTCAGCGGTTAAGAGCACTGACTGCTCTAGCAGAGGACTGGGCTTCGATTCCCAGCGCCCAGATGACAGCTATGAAAACCGTCCTTAACTCCAGTTCCAGGGAAATCCGAAGCCCTCTTCTGACCTCCGCAGTATTGCACGACACGGGTGCACTCACATACATGCAGGCAATACACTCATACACAGAAAATAAAAATAATAAATAGAATATTTTTAAAAAGTTGATTAATAGACGCTCCCCCTGCCCGCACGCCAGGATTCCTACTTGGCAATTGTCTACATAAGCGACAGCAATTTGGATCAGAGAAGCTTTCCGGTTCTTGCCCCCATTTTCCCACCTGCACCCCAGTCCTCCGGTCCAGGCGGGGATTCCCTCTACCCCTCCGAAGGTGCAGTCCCGCTGGCCCTTAAACCTGTCCCAACCTTGGCTGGTGGGGGGCGGCGGATGGAAAGGGGGGCCAGCGGAGCGGGGGGGGGGCGGCGGGGTGAGGGGGAGCGCTGCCGGCCGTAGGGGTACACGCACGGCGTTTCTGCTCCGCGGTCCCAGCGCACGGTTCCCGGCGGCCCCAGACGGCTGACAGACTCACCTACGCCCTGTCGCGCTCTCCTTCGGCGAACGCGGAGCCCAGAGGCGCGAGCGAGCGCGTCTGCTGGAAGGGCACGCCAGCCCTCGGGCTCCCGGCCTCCCTGTGGCGCACGGTTCGCGCGGGCGTGTTCGAGCTCTGGTGGGACGGGGAGGTCGCGGAGGTGACCGGCGACACAGCGCGGGGATTCCCAGCCGCCGGCAGTTCCGGGTCTGCGTCGCCGCGCCGAGGCCGGAGCAAGCGGGGCTGTGGTGCTGGCGGCGGGACGGGGTCTGACTAGGGGCCTGGCCAGGCCTGGCGGGTTCTGACCGAGCAGCGGGCGCGAGGCGAGCGGGCCCCGACGGGAAGGGGCAGCGGGACGTGTGGGGAGCGTGCTGAGGGGAACGCGGGGCGGGTAGCCTTCGTTGGTGGCCTAGGGGACTGCGGAGGACGTGCTGAGCCAGCAGTGTGGGCAGGGCGCCGGCTCAGCGTTTAGCAACCACAGCCCGGGTTCTGTAAGGGGCCCTCTGGGGGCTCCTCTGTGTGGCGGATGATAGGTTTTTGCATATGTTTTGTTTTTAGTTTCTAGACACAAGTTAGTTGGTTCTCCATTTTTTTGCCTTTCCGCTGATGGTGTGCTTTTTTTCTTCTGGGACTAACAGTCTTGATGGCCACCTTCACGTGTGTTGAAAACACAGATGCCCCATGGGCCCCTTAAAAAATATGTACCCGTGCCAGGTATGATGGCACCTGCTGTTAATCCCAGCACTTGGGAGGCAGAGGCAGGAGGATCTCTCTGAGATCGAGGCCAGCCTGGTCTACATAGCAAATTCTGTCAACTGCGGGTACAGGGAGATCCTATCTCAAAACAAGCAAGCAAGCAAGCAAGCAAGCAAACCTGTCCCTAATAGGTCAGAAAGCATTCTTAGACTTATAATAAAGTCATAATTAAGCATCCTTCTTTCCTCCAAGAGTTTAATGGGTTTTTGTTTTGTTTTGTTTTGTTTTAAATACTGAGTAGCTAACATATGGAAATCAGATAGTATTGTAAAGGGAAAAATATACAACTTTCGAGAAAGGATGGTTTTTGTAGAACTGGCTATGGTGGAAGGAGGGGACCCTTTATCTTCATTGGTGTTCCTGTAAGTGCTGAAGAAGTTTTTCCGGTATGAAAAAGAATTAGATATCTAGGAGTTTGGAAGAGCTCTTGTAATTGTGGCCCTGCCTCTACTTTACTAGAGACCAAGAGAATTAGCCCAGAGAAGAACCCACTCCCAGTAAACCTGGCCACTTCTTTTGGTCAAATTTGTATTTTCACTGGGCACTTTTAGAATGTTATCTCAAGCAAAATGGAAGATTTTTTTTTGAGGGAGGGGGCTTGAGATAAGGTCTCCCTGTAACCCCAGCTTGTCTAAAACTCACCATATAGACCAGGTGACATAGACGAGGCTGGCCTTGATCTTGCAGAGAGATCTGCCTGCCTCTGCCCCTGGAGTCCTAGGATTAATGGTGTGCACCACCACTCTGGTCTGAGAAGTTTTATTTTTAAATTTACAAAGCAGGTTTAAAGCATTTATATGTTTATGCCCAATGGTGAGTTTAGATTCTCTCATCAACAGTGTGGCAGTAAAAACCAAACAAAACTTTCAAAATAGTGATGTTGTTAGGGAAGTTGTATATTGTATTTGCATGCCACTTCCTTTGCCATCTGGTCCTGGTCTCATTTCTTAACTCTCACCCTGTTCTCATACAACTCCAGAGCTGCTCAGTCCTGGGTGCACAAATGAGCTACACATAGAACTAAAAAAACAAAAACAAAAACAAAAAAAACAGAAACTTGTAAGGACCCCATACTCCAGCCAAATATCAAATCAGAATCTCCTGAAGTCAAGCCTGGGCCTGCTTTCTTGTTTTAATCATACAGATGATTCAGATGTATAATTCAGTTGGAAAATAAAGAACTGCTGTATTCTTAAGCCATTCCAGTAAAGGCTGCTCTTTGCATAGGCCAGGTGATAAGTAGTTTGCTGTACTTTGAACACATCTTTTTGTGTATTTGTTTAACTGCTTCTAGTTGTTCAAGACTCCAAGTTCAAACATAACCTTTCTTGATGCCCCATCCCTTCACCAAGGAGAATGGCTTCTTTAGTTTTTTCTTCATATACAGGAAGCCCTCTTATAGGTCTAGTTTGGACCCATATTCAAGCAATAAGTTGAAACACTTGGCTAAATATTTACCTGTACACATTATAAGGATGGACATGATAGTAAAGAAAATTAAGCCAGAAAATTGTGGACAAGCATAGCATAGTATTTTAAACTTTTTATTTTAACCTATCATAACTGCATGCTCATTTACCAATCGAGAAAGTTCAGGACCTTTTTTGTACATGGCCTACTTATTTGAATTCTGCATTGCATCTCTTGCATAAACAATATAGCTACACTTCAGCATAAAATTTTCCCAAAGCTTTGTCTTTAAGAGGAAAATAACTTTAATGGCACCTGTAAAAGAACATGAGCATGTTTATCCTTTACAAAATCTTTCATAGCTATGGCACACCCTTTATTGTGTCTTTTCAAATATTAAATACATATTTTAAAGAAAAAAATTATGTACTATATAATTACATAACATCTAATTAAGTTATAAAGGCTCAGTATCAAGTACAACTGGTATAAACAGGTTTGAGAACAAACACAATTTATGGTATGGTTACATAGTTCAACTGGTAGAACAGACCTAGGCAGACTGGCTAGAGAGCAGTTTGCTAACCGTGATCACTGGGCACATTATTGGAATTAACCACTGACAATTTACAAAGGCAATTAAGAAAAAAAAAAAAGATGAGTTGGTTAGAAGTCAAGTAGGCTAAGAAAGCATCCACTGTGTGTCTCTAAATTATTTAACTGTATGCCACAGAGGCTTACAGTACTTTGAGGCTGACTGTTAAGGTGAGCCACTGGAAAACCCCACATGTCCTTATACTATAATGTAAATCTTAGGAGAATGGTAGAATTTTTAAAACTGAAAAATTTTTTAATTTATTAGATTTTTAAATTTTGTGACTGTGTGCATGTGTGTGCATGCATGTGTATGTGTTATGGCATATGTGTAGTGTTTATAACAAATTCGTGAGAGTCAGTTCTCTCCTTCCACTGTGTGGATCCCAGAGATAGAACTCAGATCTTCAGACTTGGCTGCAAGCACCTTTACTCATTAAGGCATCTCCCTGGTCCTGAACAATTATTTTTAAGTGACTTGACACAAGGTTTATGGGTTTCTAGAAGCTCATGTTAGGGTCCCTGGGGCTGCCAAAACAAATTACCAGAAATTGGATGACTTAACAAAAACTTGTTCTCTCCTAGTTATGGAGACTAAATTGTGAAACCGAAATGCTGGCACAACCTTGCACTTTTTGAAGGTTCTCAGTATCTTTTATTTTCTGATGCTGCTCAGCCTGACCGCCCCAGAAGCTATATGACTTAGGATCCAGGCCCTCATCTTCAAATGGCTTTTCCTGTGTCTCTTGATTGTCAAATCCCTAACTTTCTCTTGTAAGGACACATGTATGAAAACAAACGAAGGTTAACAAAATTAGGAGTAGGAGAGACTTGTTTATTTAGAGTTTGCAAGGGAGTCTGGCATCAACAGTTATGTTTTTGCAGAGAATCAAAGACAGGCAGAAGAGTGGGTACCACCTGACTAGAGGTATTAGCATTGGGGAATCAGTAAAAAGCCATCAAGAAGGGAGGCATTCTCTGTTATTGATTAGGGGTAAATATTTGGCTTCCTCTGGTAGGCCCCACGTTGGAAGTGGGGTTAAGAATTAGGTAAAATCTGAGGCTAGAGAGATGGCTCAGCAGTTAAGAGCACTGACTGCTCTTATAGAGGACCCAGGTTCAATTCCCAGCACCCACATGGCTGCTAACAACTGTCTGAAACTCCAGTTTCAGGGGATCCGACACCCTCTTCTGACTTCCACAGGCATTGCATGACACACATGCATTTACACACATGTAGGTAATATACTTATATATTAAAAAAATAAAAATAAATAAAATGCTTTTAAAAAAGAATTAGATAAAATTGGGTTGGAGAGTTGGCTCAGTGGTTAAGAGCACTGGCTGCTCTTGTAGAGGTTCAATTCCCAATACCACATGGCAGCTAACAACTGCCTGTAACTCCAGCTCCAGGGGAATTTGATGCCGTCTTCTGACCTCTGTGGACATTGTATGACACAAGTGCACCTACCTACATGCAAACAATATACTCATATACATAAAATAATTTATATAATAATGATATATTTTTAAAACATACTCAAAGTTACTTTTAAAAAGAGGGAGGTAAAATGTCAGTCACTAATCAGGCACTGGCCATTTGGGGCCATTTGTTATAACTTGGCTTCCTGGATTGTTACTTGAGATAGTGGTCTGACATCTATAAGCCTTATATATAGGTAACGGGCAGGCCTTATTCTAGTTACTGTAGATAATGGTTTGGTTGGTTGTAGATCATGGGTCAGAATTCTATTTTTACATGTAGTAAGAGAAACAATGGTTTGGCCATTGTTTGCACTTGTAATTGAATTTAATTCAGACTGAACCTTATCTTGAGATTATTAACCTAATTTTATCTTCAAAGATCCTTCTGCCAAAAAGGTCATATTCATAGGCTTTGAGGGTTATGACATAAACTTACCTTTTTGGAGTCACCATTCTTTTTGGTTTAAAAGTCATCCTTACTTGTTTAGGGTTGGAAAGACCTTATCCCCTTAGTGTCCTGAATAAGGCAAACAAGAACTATAATTTCTGTCCCATGGGCAAGAACTTTTTGGAAAAGGCTGCCTGGACAATATTTAAAGATTGATTTTGAGCTGCAAAGCAAATTCTGTGTCTACATTTCAAAATGATATATTTTGGCAATCTATTATGATCAAAACATGCATGTGCGAGAAATGTCACCTTTGATAGAAAGTTAGAAACAATATGAGAATTATGAATGTTGACTGTATTACCTTAGATAGGCAGTTAGGGAACAATATAAACCCTATAGTTTCTTTCTATTTGGAGTATCCTGAAATTTTAATCTCATTGCCAGGCCAGAGAAGGGAGAATCTTTGGTTCAGCAGATTCTAAAACCCTTGTTTTAGATATTATAATGGATTTTTGTTTGTTAAGACAGAGTACTATTATATTGCCCAGACTGGCCTCGAACTTGGAATCCCCTTGCTCAGGGCGTGTACCATTATCAAATCCAGGCCTTTATAACATGTATATGAGTGTGTGTGTGTGTGTGTGTGTGTGTGTGTGTGTGTGTGCGCGCGCGCGTGCACGCGTATAT